AGAACTCAATAATGAGCTCCAAAGTCTTGATCACTTGATCACTTGATCAAGAAAGAAAGACTTCGAGGCTGGAGGCAGCAGCAGCAGTGAAGACACCTGAACCAATCGTCAAATGGAAAAAGAGAGACGTCGATGGTAACCAAATCTTTGAGAGACCAAAAGCAAGCAGGAATCTGCCAAATCAGGCTGAGTATTTAATGTTCACTAAATGTTGAAGAAATAGAATGTTTACTATCTAATGAGTATTACAACAACAGCATTACATGAATTGATGTATGAGGAAAACAATCGAACCAAAACCAACGGAAAACATTTTTACATTTGAAAGGTAATCTGACATGATTATAGCACTTGACCAGATTATTTGACTACATCTATTTCTATCTAAGGGGTAATGAAGACATTGAAATAGTATTTGTGGTTTTGTTTTTGTACAGCTGGGAGGAAAGCTCCTCGTGTTGATGCTCCTGACACTGACTGTGAGAGGGTCTGTTGTATTGTGTCTCTCTAAGCCTAAATCACTATCTCCATATGTCTGTACTTGTTTCTGTGAGATGTGTTTGCACTGATTTGGAAATGTTAATTCCATGTTTGAATTTTAAAAACACTGTAACATAATTATAAACATAGCTGTTAAATATTTCCAAGCCACAGCTACTCCATACAGTAAACTTTGATGTAGTATAAAACCATATTTTTGTACAAAACAAAAACCGTTACCATCTAAGAAATGTAAAGGGCAAATATTAACCATATGAACTGTTTATACTGTTTGTAATTGAGATGAAGTAAACATCTGTTGAGTATTTTAACATAATAGTTTGATTGTGTTGAATTGAAGCCCAAAAAGGCAGCGGGTTCATCAGACCCACGAACACTGGCTGAGTAACAACACTATGAACACCACACAAGGGTTAAAGGAAGTGCTAGCATCCAACTGGCCGAACGTAACGTGGTAAAAATCTCTATTTTCAAACGATTGATTTTTAATTCAACATAGTAAGAATATAATACTTTGTAACACAAACTGATCTTTTATCACATATTTTCCTTCATTTTGACATTCGTGAGTTAGCTTCACGTCTTTTTACATCTACACAACTCTCTGAGAGAAAGACTAACAGACAAATCTCAAACTATTTTGGTACATTTAATAAAGTATCTTCATTTGAGACACTTTTGATATCTTAAAGGCTTAATCTAGAGATCCAAGTTTGTCCCAAAAACAAAGCACACAAACATATTTTAGGTGACCAATCCTTTTAATCATAAAAACACAGATTTCCACAGCAAGTGGGGAATTTAAACTCCAAATGAACAAACAAATGGTTACAACAACTAATAGAAACATCTCTCTCTCACAACAATAGTGCAACCAATCCCAACTTCTGCAGAAACTTCAGGCCTTTAATGTTTTGGCGGCGAAAGTTTGGGTTTTAACGAGGCCACATTTCACAGATTTGGGATGTGAACGAGTTTCTCTTGACAGAAACTTCAGAATTATTTGTATATATATTACTTTGGTAATAATAGCAGAGCATGGACAGAGAATTGAAGATTAAGTTCAATTTTTCCTTTGAGAAATATACCGTAATTTTCGGACTATAAGCCGCACCTGAATATAAGCAGCGGCATACCACTCTCGGTTCCACTTTTACGCGCTACCTGTCTCACTCTTTTCCGGCCTCCAGCTTTTCCTGCTGGAACCCGCCGCTTAAAGGTGGGGGTCCGCGGACCGGCCATAGAGCCCATAGAGTTAAAGGTGTTGGCCGTTAGCTGTAAAAATCCATAGATTAGCCGCACCGTTATATAAGCCGCAGCGTCGAAAAATAGGGAAAAAGGCGCGGCTTATAGTCCGAAAATTACGGTAGTTGAATTAGGGTTAGGGTTAAGTGGCGAATCTCCCACATGTTCACAATACATTAAGAAAGTCTATGGAAAGGAAAAAGATCATTGTACATTTTTGAGTTTGCTGTTTTTTGCAGACTTTTCTCCATTTGTGAAACATCATTGGATATATTTAATTAAATATCTTAATAAATAAGTTACTTTTACCAGTGCAATTTAGGACTTTCCTTCACTATTTAGTCTAAGAAAGCCATTCAATAAAATGTTACTGAAATAAGTTATCCATCTTGCCTTTGCCTCAAATCAAGACCATTTCTGTAGAGGGTTTTTTCAAAATAACAGCTCGTATGTTGGTCTTTAAAACCTACATGACAAAAGACATGTATTAGGTTTTCAATATCAATGTTGTTCCTGTTGGTGTAGGTGAAGACAAACTGGAGTTCAAAGCAGTTTCTGCTCGTCTAGACAGAAGAGCAGGAAACCAGATCTGAACCACAAAGAGTTTCACTCCCGCCTGACAGGAAGCTCGTTTGCATTGAGACACTGGAGGTGTGTGTGTGCGTGTGTGTGTGTGTGTGTGTGTGTGTGTGTGTGTGTGTGTGTGTGTGTGTGTGTGTGTGTGTGGTGTGCTGTGTGTGTGTGTGGTGTTGGTGATGTGTGTGTGTGTGTGGTGTGTGTGTGTGTGGGTGTGTGTGGTCTGGGCTGGTGGGGGGGGGGGTTCCAGGGGGGTTCCACAGGTGTGAATGCTTATTCAACGCTCCCTCAGCAGTGTAAAGTAAAGAAACTCAGTTTGTCTCTAGTCTCTCTGGTAAAGAGAGGGAAGTCCACCCTTCATTTTTGATCCTATCTGTAATCTCTTATCGTTTCTGGCACACGTGAAGTCGTGTTTTCGCCACGTCTGGAGATGCCGACGCTAACTTTCCTGCAGAAGAGGACGAAAGTGAAGTGTGATGAGAAGAAGAAGACGCTGCAAACTTTGACTTCGCCACCGCCGCCATGAGTGAAGATGATGGCGATGACGATGAAGGTTTGGCGTCGGGGTCTCGCAGCGTCCGGCAGCTAAGTCCGTCCCCACACGAGCAGCGTTGGAACAGCTCCAGCCCATGGTTCCCTTTCCGCCGGTGGCGCGTGCAAACCTGTCCCCCCCGCAACACCGGCTTACAGATTCGGGTCCAGAAGTGACGGGCGCAACACAACGCCTCGGAACAATCTGAGGAGCGGAGGCACGGGTCGCCCACCTGACCTGCAAACATGGAAATAATTAATTAGATAATAATACATTGGACTTTTATGGCGCTTTTCGTAATGCTCAAAGAAGCTTATAACACAAGGCAATTCAAAGTCCTTTCACTCAGACATTAGGAGCATTAAGAAATAGTGCAGCAGGAACATATTATAAAATGGCCATTTAAAACACTCATTTAAAAGCAAAGATTATAAAACACTATAACAATGAAACATAATTTGATGAATTAAAAGTGAAAGAAGCTCACCTTTACTGGAGGATCCTTTGGGCTCCATCCGGCTCCTCTTCCTCCAGCCTCTCTTCTTGGACAGAGTACTCATCTCTCCGTCGGGGATCGTCTGAGACACAAAGCTGTTGTCCTCTGGAACGCAGATATCTGAGGGAGGGACGAGCGTTTACAACGAATAGACGGAATAAAATGAACGCAGAAAATGTGCTAAATTGTTGAACTAATAAAAAGGAATAAAAGGAAAATCATTTCTAGTAATCAGCATGAGCATATTGAAAAAGACTGATTTCAAAGCATTGTTCTACTGATACGCAATAATGCAATGTGTTCATTGTGCATTAGACATTTTAATGACACTTGAAACCCTTTGTTGTGCGGCTCTTATTTTTAGCAGATACTGAGACATTCTGCCTCAAATAATTTGTAAACAGTAAATAAAACTTGCAGCTCGTATTTCTGACTTTCTTATCATCTCAATGTCACTTTTCTGTTCTTTTTACAGGGTATAAAACACACAAGACATTCAGATATCACTATAACATGACAGAGATATGACAGTACAAGTTCAAAAAGTATATATAATATATATATTAATCTTACTGTTGCTGCAGCTGTTTCCAGGACAACACATGCCATCTCTATGGCAACGCCTCTTCCTCCTGCGGCAGGTCTGACAGCGGGAGTGGGCGGGGCCTTTGGTGGGGGCGTGGCAGTAGCTGCCCTCGCGGCACTCCAGGTCGCTCATGCACTGATACAGCTGCACAGACAAACACAGAAACATTTATTATAATGTAAAGTACCGTGACTTTATTATAATGGACCGTACTGTGTGATAATGGAACGTGGTGTTGATGTAACGGAACGTTGGAACGCTGCAGTGAAACATTGTATCTCTTCCCGCATCCAACGTTCCATCACCTCAAAGATAGAGATAACGCCATGACGTCACACACTCACCGTCAGGTCCAGACTGGGCTCCCACGTGCTCCTGTTCACCGGCAGCGCGTGCCCCTCCCCCAGGATCACCGTGCGGATGGAGTTCAGTCTGACACGAGCCTCCCTTCCGCGCGAACACGTCACGAGCACGAGCGCGAGACTCACCATCAGCACCGAGTGAGGGTGCATGACTGCTGAGGGGGCAGACAAATAAATACATGAGAAGAACTCCCAAAAATGTTATAAAAGTTACAAATAATTATAACATTTGTAAAATAAGCCTCAGAAATAACAGCGTTTCACTTCTTCAATAAAACATCACACTAAAAACGATTTTTTTTTTTTTAAACCAATTCCCTAAAAACGTAAAGTAATCCTATAAATTAAAACAATATCCTCAGTAAAAACCACAAGGCGAAACGTCCATCTTAAATGTCCTTTGCATTGTTTAACTTGTGTTAAATACAGATGTGTTTGAGAAACTTTACAGAATGTATAAATATCTGTCATTTTAAAACCTATATTCCGACAAGCAGGTACAAACACACATTGATAAATCCTACCTGTTGCTTTCAGAGAGAAGTTCCTTTTCTCTGAATCACGTTAAAATGGCAACAAAAAATACATGAAGAAAGAAAGAAATAATCCCGGTTAGTTGAGTTAAATCCCACTTCCGGTGTGTTTCTGCTGCCTCCAGACTCTCAGGTGCTGCTGGTCTGTCTGCAGGACTTCAGGTGAACTGGTCCCGGATCCTCGTGCACTTTATGTCTGCTCACAGGTGTACCCCAGCTCCGCCCCCCCCCCNAATCGAAACAAAACCAACAGCAAACATTTTTACATTTGAAAGGTAATCTGAGATAGAATTAGATGTAGTCAAATAATCTGGTCAAGTGCTATAATCATGTCAGATTACCTTTCAAATGTAAAAATGTTTGCTGTTGGTTTTGTTTCGATTGCTTTCCCTATACATCAATGAATACATGTAATGCTGTTGTTGTAATACTCATTAGATAGTAAACATTCTATTTCTTCAACATATGGTGAAAATTAAATACTCCCCCTGATTTGGCAGATTCCTACTTGCTTTTGGTCTCTCAAAGATTTGGTTACCATCGACGTCTCTCTTTTTTCCATTTTACAATTGGTTCAGGTGTCTTCACTGGTGCTGCTGCCTCCAGCTTATCAAGACTTTGGAGCTCATTATTGAGTTCTTCTTGTTCTTCTTGTTCAACAAGATCATCTAGAAAAAGCGAGAGAGGGAGAGTGAGTATACAAAAGCGAGAGAGAGGGACAGAGAGAGAGAGAGAGAGAGAGAGATAGAGCGACAGAGAGAGATACACAGACAGCAACACAGGTAGGGACAAGGCACACTGAAAAGGATGGTTTGACAAAACAAATGTGGCTCTTAAAAGTGCCTTTTGGGTGGGTGATAGAATCACAGATCACAGGGGTATATAAATGGGAACTTCGAAAGACCTGTGTGGAAAGAAGAGAAACACTATTTAGAATTAGCCAAGGTATCTTTTTACTCGTGTTATCTTTTTGTGTTCCACCTGGATGTGTAGTTTCATTAATTGTCATTTATTTATTTTTATCTTAAATGTCGGCATGCCTCTTAATTAAAGTGTTGCTATTTACTTTTGCTGTAACAATGTCCCAAGTAAAGGTAAAGTATGATTATATTTGACAAATAAAAGTAACACTATATTTGAAGGGCTGTGCATAAGATACACATCTGTCATAAACATGAAGGAATAATAATTTGGACTGAATGACACCTAATAAGAGATTAGGTGTCATTCAGTCAATTCACTCCTAGTAGCCGTTAGCTAGCATAGTCCAGTAAGTTGCTAGCTAGCATAGTCCAGTAAGTTGTATTTTAATGTCTTAAAAGGATTCACAAACTCACAAAACGACTACCCTGCACTTCTTAAGGTCATTACAATACTTGCTGGCTGGACTTAATAACCGTTTTGGTGTATATTTAATGGTTTTCGTCGTCTCTGATTATACACATGTAATTAATGCAGCCCTTACCAGACGGGGGTTCAGCAATGGACTTTAAATGCAACGCACCACATTACGTCACACGTTTGATCCGCGCGCCATGATTGAAAATACTTTGTTAAAAAAAAAACAAGGACAATAAACAAAGCAATCTTCACAACGGCCGGACAAAATACTTTGAGCCGCTCTATAGCCAAAGCCAGAGACACCGTTCAAAGCATAATAAAGACAATATATAGAGAGCATAATGTTTTTAATGTAGTATGAAAATTACAATTTTGTCATTTTTTATAAACAGCATAATGTGTTGCAATGACGTCTCGCACCATACGCTTCAGCTGAGAACGGTCCGCGGGGAGCATTCGCTCGCGATCTCAAGTCGTCCACCACATTAGTTTAGGGAGCTCTATAGAAGGCGTTCGCAAAGATCGCGGCCACTCTAGTCAATGGGTGCTATTCCACCAGAGGCGCCGTGTTGCGGCTCAGAAGCGTCTCTGCACTGGGCTCCGCTCAAAATAGGATGCAAGTCTATTTTCGACGCGAGGCGTTGCAGAGGCGCCGGGCAG